ACGGCAATTGGCTGTGCTGTTGACGTTGTCGTTTTTTCTATTTTTGCACTTTAGCACTAGTTTTTAATTTTTTATTTCAAATGAGTCCTTTCTTATTTTCAGTTTGGATCCTTCATTTTAAAATTATTTTCAAATATGTCCTAAATGCATATTTCTCAAAAAATTCTAAACAAAATTAAACTTAAATATTTATTATTATTATTGAAATTAATTTATGCCATCCCGAGCTTAAATTTCAAGCTCGAGATGTTACAACTCTCATCTCCTTAAAAAAATTTAGTCCTTTAAATTACTGCTCCCTAGTCAAACAGTTGAGGATATCGAGCCCTGTACTCTGATTCCAGCTCTCAGGTGGCCTCATCCTGCTAGTGATTTTGATATAGTACTTGATAAAAGGAATTTCTCTGTTGCAAAGTACTCTACTCTTTCGATCCAAAATATTAACTGGTACATCTTCGTAAGGTATATCCTCCTGGAGTGGAACTAGCTTGTAGGACAAAATATGTGAGGGGTTCAGGTTATACTTACGTAGCATCGACACATGAAAGATATTATGGACTATGTATCGTTCTGGAGGCAGTGCTAGTCTGTACGCAGATATCCCAATCTTGTCTAAAATATCAAATAGTCCGATGAACCGGGGGTTCAACTTTCTCCTCTTTCCAAACCTGGTGATATCCTTAAAGAGGGTGACCTTAAGAAATACTTGATTGCCTTTTTTAAATTTTAAATTTCTCCTTCGAGTATCCGCATAACTTTTTTGTCTATTTTGAATCGTCTGAATATTTTTTCTAATCTTAACAATCTTCATTATGGTCTTATCAACAAGATCTTGGCCAACCAATTTTCTGTCGTCCACTTCTTCCCAACAGATCAGTAATCTACAAGGTCGACCATATAATGCCTAATACGGAGTCATACCAATACTTGTCTTATAACTGTTATTATAGGCAAACTCTATCAAGGGTAGATGATCATCCCAGTGCCCTCCAAAATCTAGAACACAAATCCTGAGCATATCATTCAGTGTGTAAATAGTTCGTTCTAATTGTCCATTTGTTTAAAGGTAGAATGATGTGTTAAGAGACAATTTCATCCTCATTGCTTATTAAAAACTTGTCCAAAATTGAGATGTGAATTTGGGGTCTTTGTCCAATATCATTATCATCAGAACTCCATGTAGTCCGACTATCTCCCGAATATAGATTCTAGTTAGCTTGTCCAAGGGATCAGTCATTCTAGTGGTCAAGAAAGGAGAGGACTTAGTGAGTCGGTCAACGACCTAGATCGCATTGTGTCCTAAGTGTACCTTAGGCAATCCTGTTATAAAGTTCATGGTGATATATTCTCATTTCTAATCCGAGATTGGTAACGGCTGAAATAGTTCACCTAAGTGTTAATGCTCTGCTTTGACCTGTTGGCATTTAAGGCACTTAAAAACGAAGTTAGCAACTTCTTTTTTACCCGACTCCACCAAAATCGAGGTCACATTCTTTAGCATATCTTAGTACTTCTCGAATGCATAGTGAACTTCAAACTTTAAGCCTCTGTCATGATATCCTTTTCAAATCGCTATTACTAGAAACACACAACCTATATTGGAACCTTAGCAACCCATCGACAGAGACTCGAAATTCTAGATTCAAACTCTATTTTGTATCCTTTGTGAGAGCTGCTAGAGTGGGATCGATAAGTTAAACCTCTCTTATTCCTTAGATTAATTCCAGTTGGACTGTTAAATGGGCTAGATATGTGGTTATTTTCAAGTCTTAGAGTTGTGTATAATG